TGGTGGAGAGGAAAAAGTCTGGCTATGGGGATAATAGAAATAGTAGGGATGTACTATTTAGGTATATAGGATACAGAGGGACAAAAAGTTACTTGGAGGACAGGGTGCATTGGAACCCTGTATTTTGAATGGTGCCAAAATGCTATTTTGAAATCTCAAAAAAGAATCTAAAGATAAATCAGCATGTTTATGTGGATGTATATTATATATGTGCAGATTTTGATGCTGAAATAAATAACCATGTGAGTTCCACAAAAATGAAAAAGTCATGATTTTGGAAAGATGAATAGTGCACGTATTATTCAGTATCTGGAAATCACCATTTTGTATAGCTCACATGTTTATTTATTTCATCACCAAACTTTACACATGTGTAATATACATCCATATGATCATGTAGAATTCCTTTTGGAATTTTCTAAAACTTGTGATTTTATAAAGTATTTAAAATAAGGTCCTCCAATATACCCCGGCTCCAAAAATCCACTGTCAGGAGTACTACTTTGTGTTTATCCTGATGCGGTCAAATCTCTTCACATCGTCTACTACTACCAATCGTCACGCCAGGGAACGATCTGAACCATCAAAACACATCTTCCACTCCGCAGCCAGACTTTTTCCTCCCCACCATCCCGTACCTTTCCTCTTCCTTCCCGATCCACTCCTCCCCCCACGCTGCTGCTCTCATACTCTGACCTACCCAAGCTCCATTCCAGTTCCAATCCAAACCCAATGAGTTTCTAAAATCTTCTCCCGTACTCCACCGCCGCCGTGCCCTAGAGCTGCCGCCGTGCCGAGCTAAGCTTCACCGCCGGCGCCTCACACCCCCCAACTCCTTCGCCTCTCACGCGCTTCGCCGCCATCGCCGTCCTCGTTCTACCCCATCGCGTCGCTGCTGACTCCACCCCCGCCTGCATATTGACATCGGTTTTTGAGGTATGAGCTCTTGTCCATACAGTGACTGCTCAATCCCGAGCTAACCTCCACAAATTCCCGGTGCGCGCACCATCTAGATCCGCCCTGGCCTCCTCGGCGGCCGAGAGGAGCCGCTCCGGGCTCGGGTCAGGTTTCCGGTACCTCACCGGAGCCGCCACCGGGTGGTGGGACCGGTGGATGGTCATGGGAGCCAGCGGCTCCAAGCTCGAGAAGGCTCTCGGCGACCAGTTCCCTGAAGGCGAGCGCTACTTCGGACTCGAGAACTTCGGCAACACCTGCTACTGCAACAGTGTACTCCAGGTCTTCATATCCTATCCCGGGAACTTGTAGCTTATAGATTTGTTGCGCCTTGCATGCTAAGCGGTAATCTGTGCAGTATACATGTGTAAATGTTTCCGTTAGGTGTTAGTTCGATAGCCGCTGAGGCGCCTTTGTTTGCTTGCGGCTGTGTTGAATATGCTCCTTGTTATGTTGGCATAGTAGATGCTCATTAGATTCAGCGCCGTGTGGGTATAATGTGAAATATATATGTTGGTATGGGTGGAATTTTTCGACGATTCAGCTACCCAAACTGTTATGAGTTATGTGACACATGTATGTTTGCTTATGATTGCACCGTGTTCACATAGTATGTCGTTAGCATGTTTAAGAATTTATTACAGCCAGGTATAGTGACAACATCCTACCGTTTGGAATACCGTCACAAGCTTGTCTTTTACGAATACATTGATACCTCCAAAATCTCCCGAATTAAACACTGTATATCTGAAATAGATTTAAGTGCGCCGGTTCAATATCCGAAATTGATGCATTTATCTGAAACACACCTTTTTACGAAGATTGGATGCCTTTCAGCAAGATTGCTTGCAAGTTAGAGGCGTGTCAATATGCCTCTGTTTATCTGCTTCTAATTAAGAGCGCCCACTGGGTTGTATGTCATTTTATTTTGATGGTTTGCCTTGGTAACTTGTCTATCTCTAGCCCAAGCTCCTAATAGAGCGTCAACATGTTCTTAACTAAAAGAAGGTAACATGAGAAATCGTTGAGAGATTACTATCCATTCTAAATTCCTGCCAAACCCTTTTTGTGTCTCATGTAAGGTTGTATGCTCATTACAGACACGCCAAGCAGTTGTTCACCAATATGGTCTCTCACCTTGTTTATATAATTCTGCTCCACCATGATTGCACTGAAAGTCTTAACTTTTTTCTAAATCGGATGTATATAGACGTGTTTTAGTGTGTTTGTTCACTCATTTTAGTATGTATGTAGTCCATATTAAAATATCCAAAACATCTTATAATTTGGAACGGAGGGAGTACTTCTCATCACTGGGAGAAGTCCAGGTCCAGTGTAAAATAGTAAGATGCGTTTTGGTGCATATTGTGGATATGCAGGCAGGCTAGACTATATATATTGTTTAGCTATCATTGTCTAGAGAAAATCTAGGAGTAACTTTTTTTTCCTGAGATTGTGTTAATTTTGTTAAATGCAACAATACTTTTCATGCTTGTGAAATAAATCCTTTTTGTGTATTCTCTATTCACTTATACACTATATACCTTTTAGCTGCCAATTTGCACAATGATGTAGCTATGATATAGGAGTGGCGTTTTCTGGCTTGGATGAACTTTCATGATGTGCTATCTTAGCTTTTCATATAGGTTTGTACTGTTCGCAATCTACTAATGCTATCATTCTTATGCCATATGTTGTCCAGTTTAGTTATGTTCTGTCCTTTCTTTGTGACAAATATTTTGCTCATATCCTGTTCTTATCAGATAGTTGTTTGCCGTGCTGTGTAATCAACTGTTCTAACACATATGACAAGTGCATTATTACATGAACCTTACCCATACTTTTGTTTCAGGCACTTTATTTTTGCACTCCATTCAGGGAGCAGCTACTGGAATATTATATGAATAATAAAAATCCTGGAGATGCAGAGGAAAATCTTTTGACTTGTTTGGCGGATCTTTTCATGCAGGTAAAGTGGAGAAAAGGATAATCTTAACCTAGTGATATGTAATTGTGTTTGCGCAATGAGCATGTTGTTACTCTGCAAATTGACTTGTAATTGTATAGTGCTTTGGCCATGTTCTATCGTTATTGATGGAGGTTTGAAAAATGAATCCACACAATATTCTGCCTTCAATGGTGATTGCTGTCAGCAGATCTATATTACTCCCTCCGTCCCACTAGTGTAAAAAACACTCTTATATTATGGGACGGAGGGAGTACCATTTTGGCTTCTCATTCTTAGGGTGATGAACACCTAGTGACCAACATATATATAATGTTTTTGATATGAAGTTGTATATCATTGATGGCAAGGTGTCTTCACCACCTATTCATTATTACTCTCCATCCATGTGTATCATCGTTGCTGCACAGTCTTTTCTGTATGTTTTATGTGATATGAAACTTGTGGCAGGATATTTCCGTTTGTACTGAATTAGTGATAGCTTATAATATTTCCAGAAAATATGACAGCTCATAATATTTCATGCAGGTAAGCCAATCAAAGAAAAAGACAGGCGTTATTGCTCCAAAACGTTTTGTCCAAAGAGTGAAGAAACAAAATGAATTATTTCGCAGCTACATGCACCAGGTAATTTGACACCTATTGTAGCAGCACATGTCAGTGGTCGTGCCATGATATCCTCATGATGATCTTATTGATGCAACTTAAGGCAGCCTTTGTAAATATACAATGCTAAATGTTGCAGTGACTTATCCAAGTGATGGACTGAGGGTAGCGTTTTAAACAATATTCTGTGATATTTCACACGGCAAACTCAGCCATGTTATATGTAGTAGTGTTTTTCTTCTCAGGCATGTGCTTTTATCTGCTATTTTGCTTTAGTTTAACCATGCTACCTTTGTAAAACAGTCTCTTAGGAATAACCTTCCAAGTAGTTATTGGTACAATCGATAAAGCATTACTTGTACTTACTTATCTTGAGTAACATATTTGTTCATGATATTTCTGTAGGATGCTCATGAGTTCTTAAATTTTCTGTTGAATGAGCTTGTTGATATTCTGGAGAAAGAGTCCAGTGCTGCGAAGGACTCCCCCCAATCATCATCTCCTGAAAAAGTTCCAAATGGGGCAGTTCAACCTTTGGCCAATGGAGTTAAAAAAGAACCACCTGTTACCTTGGTCCATAAGAATTTCCAGGTGACTGAACTTAACGGAAATGACTTGGACATAATGTTACCTAGTTTCCTTTCTTCAAGATCCTGTTTGTCGTTATCTTTATATATTTATTATTTATTTTTACAACCTACACAGGGCATACTGACCAATGAAACCAAATGCTTAAGATGTGAGACAGTAACTGCAAGGGACGAAACTTTTTTTGATCTGAGTGTTGACATTGAGCAGAATAGTTCCATTACAAGCTGCCTGAAAAATTTCAGCTCCACTGAGACTTTAAATGCTGAGGACAAATTCTTCTGTGACAAATGTTGCAGGTTATTACTATGCCATATTTGCCTTCTAGTACTGTTTTTCTTGTTCTCATCATATAGTATGGTTTGCTTTGACCTATTATTGGTTTGTGTTTCTACTAGCCATCTCCATTTCATGCCTTGAGTACCCATTTTTCTGGTATATGTGGGCAAGATCATAAAGCCCCAAGTAATCTCCTTTTCTTGTATATGCGGGCAAACATCATAAAGCCCTTAACGATCTCTTTTCTTCATCCTTGTGTCAGAACACATTTTGGCTGAAATGGAAAGAAATAATTTTTCTAGCTACCATGGGAGGAAACGTCAATTTAACTTAATTTGCCTTGTTCCAGTTTGCAAGAAGCACAGAAGAGAATGAAGATCAAGAAGGCTCCCCATATATTGGTGATCCACCTAAAACGCTTTAAGTACATTGAGCAGCTTGGGCGGTATAAGAAGCTTTCGTATCGGGTTGTCTTCCCCATGGAGCTGAAGATCAGCAGTACGTCTGATGACGTGGATACTGAATACTCTCTCTTTGCTGTGGTGGTCCATGTTGGAAGCGGCCCCAACCATGGCCATTATGTAAGCCTCGTAAAAAGCCACAACCACTGGTTGTTCTTCGATGATGAAAACGTGGAGATGGTTGAAGAGTCGACCCTGCAAACATTCTTCGGTTCTTCGCACGAATACTCGGGCAACACAGATCATGGATACATCTTGTTTTACGAGGGCCTTGGTGGGAAGTGTTTAGGTTGATTTTCCCTGTTGTGTTTCTTTTCTTTTTCTTTGGAGCATGCAAGTTTACTGTTGTATGTACACAGCTATTTCATCACCTCCATGGAAAATTGTTAATCTCGGAGATTGTGAGTATGAACCTGAGGAAAGCCGGATTTTTTGTGGTTCTAGTGTACAGCGGAAAATGGAACCTTGCTCCAGTGATGATGAAATAAGGCGCAAGTCATAAAGTACACTCGACTATACTTTCCACCGACATCCTTACCAAGGAATGTAACAATGCATTGGGTTCTGTATGTTGATTCTAATTTGAAATTTTTATGCACTAGATTTAGCCATCTATTGTGCTAGCAGTGCCCTTCGAGGCTTGGAATCATGTCCAGTTAGAATTATAATATGGTGTATGCTTGACTTTATGATGGTTGAATTGATTTAGGGAGTTTGGCTATTGAGGCTATTGAGGCTACTTTTGAATTCATGTATTCCATGTGTTTCTCCAGTTATGTGGATGCAAAAACTGTTCATAGGAAATGTACGTCCCTGCTCTCATGGGACAATTTGCTACTTGTGCCAATTGCAATCAATGGGCATCTCAAGTTCGTTCATAAATAACACCTTATATTATGGGACAGAGGAAATACATTTCAATCTGTATGAAAGCTACGCCGCTTTCTGCTCTATTTATGGGGGTGGCTAGGGCTTAAACTTGCAGTGGTCCTGGCACCAAAGGTAGCAATACTTAGTGGGGCATCTCGTGATCTTAGCCCGCGCACATATGCTGCGTGCATTCTCCACCGTATATATTCATTGCCCATCGCACGTCCTTATGGTGCCCTGTTCGTTTCACATTATCAAAATTGCCGTCGCGCGTACCCTAAGAAACACAGCACATCAATCCACATAACACAGTTAGTGATAGCAGCAGCAGGTAAGGCCAATATATACATTCTGATTGCACAAAACCGTCCAGGAGTAACCAAAGATTGCCAATCACACAGGGGAGTTTGCAGCTATAGACATATAACACACCCCCTACAAAAAATATAAGCATCCCCCACTAGGAAACCCTCAATTGTCTGATGATCAATAATACACATCCTTTTTCGACCAACTCTAGCAAAGCTATATATAACGCATATATCCTTGCAGGTTCTAGAGGATTAAATTTACATGGCTATTATCGCTTCCACGAAGACGCCTGCCTTGCACGCTCCTCCGACTATACATCACAGGTCTGTGAATCTCCACTCTGTCCGGAAAACTCTAACCGATGAAATTTGGCTGCACGGAGTTCTCCACGTCCCTGCCTGTTGTCCTGAAATTCAGCATTCTTCATGTATCAGATCGTATATGAGTAACAGTCATGCATGTCGGTATCAATGTTGCAAACAACAATGTTACGATGCTACATTTTCGTAAGAACAGCTAGTTAGCATTCATTCACAAAAAAAGAAGATGGGGAGAAAAAGCTAAGTTAGCATTCATTCACATGTTTGGGGGCCAAACAACTGAAGATAGTAACTCGTTGCTAAATGCAGAATCAATGTTTGGGGGCGATGTGTAGTATGAGTCCCAGATAAGGTTTCAGTTCAAATTCCACACACACAATAAACTGAAAAAAACATATGCAAAACCGAGCTAAAATAAATAGGTTGTTCCTCCTATTTCAACTGATCTAGGAATTGAAACTGTATCAGATTGTATGGCACTCTAGCAGCTAGACTCGTTATCTTAAAAAAACATTTGGTTCATACGAAATTTGACACACTCATGGGTAGTGTCTCCAGATAAATATGCGTGATTTTAGCCCTTATGCTGCTTCACATACAAAACACTATTTTTAGAGGCTTTTTTTTTGCGGAGAGACACTTTGCTGGCATAAAGTACCACTAACGTAATCTCTCATACTATCCTGCAAAACTTACAAAATTGCAATGCAAAGGCAACATCAATGCAGTTTACCGAGAAGAATGAGCTAATGTGTGTGACTTACAATGACTGTGATAGCTGATGCCAGTTCATTATCCGGTGTGACTGAGGATGCCTATCCAAATAACTCCTACTAGAAACATCAGCTTCATCAGCTCCATAAGTTTCGGAATGGCCTGATGCTGCAGGAGGTGACCAAACTGGGACCACGCCACCATCTCTCCCGGTCCAGCTACTTGACGCTTCAGAAACAGATGGCGCAAAAATATTTCTCATACGGTGCTGAGGTTGCTGAAAGTTATTGTGATGGTGAATGCCATTAGTTCCAGCTGCATTGCCCGTGCTTCGAATCATTTCCTCCCTCTCAGTCCGTGGCTCAAAATGCATGCGGAACGGCACCTCTGCCCTACTATCCACGCTATTCCCCAAATCAGCAGAAATTTCTGTTTCAACCCTGTTGAGTGAAGTTGTCATGGTAGGCACCATCTGATCCTGGCGTCTCTGTGCAGTTGTGAGCACATTGGGTGCTACCCGGGCTGGTTCCCAGTGGACTTCCATCTGCAAATCTTGAGGAAATTCGATGGGTGGCACCTCTGAGGAGTCGCCCAGGCCTTCCTCCATTCCAGTGTCCATTGCGGCCCTGGATGCTGCCTCAAGTTGCCACATTTCTGACAGGGCTTCTTGCAGCCTGACTTGCGCTGTATCTAGCTCAACTATGGGGAGAGGATAGTTGGAGCCTAACTCAACTCCTGCAGCTTGCAGCACAGACGCAGGCGCATCCCATGGGTGGTGTATCCATTCTGTTGGCAGCCTTGCAAGTTCAGGAAGCCACCGTCGGACATATTCCCCATGTGGATCAAACTTGTAGCCTTCGAGCTGACATAATTCATAAAGATTCACATGAGAAAGCATCAGTACTCAGTACTATTCGTCATCACCAAGTTGTCTAATTTTTTTCTAAAGAAATTAGTAGTTGCACGTACCTGAGGGTTGTCAATGTGGTCGAGCTCCCGGCTATCAGGGAGAGAGCCAGAGATGTACTGCCAACCAAGCGCATCACTTTCAAGATCAGCATCCAGTAAAGTGTCCCAAAAATACTTCATCCCCCATCGCCATGGTAGTTGAAGGACCTTGACGAAAAAACTTGAAACCACCACACGTATCCGATCATGCAGCCACCCAGTCGCCCACAACTCCCTCATGCCAGCATCAACAAGAGGGTAGCCAGTCCGTCCCTGGCGCCAAAACTTGAAGGTGCTTTCGTCGACCACCCAAGGGAAGAACCTGAGGTGTGCAAGGAGGGGCTTCTCATGGCTGCATGGATGGTTGAAGCAAAGATATCGCGAGTACTCCCGGAGGCCGACCGATCGGAGGAATAGAGTGCAGCTCTCCTCCGCTGCATGGTTGCCCTCATTGCTCCACACGAGTTGCTTCATTCGAACAAGGTGGAAAACCTTGCGCACACTCAGCTCACCAAAATGCAGGTAAGGTGAAAGGAGGGAGGTGTTTGCGCTGTCCGCCTTCTTGCGGTTCACCGAGTAGTCGATCAAAGGGCCGTTCAGGAAGGCACTGAGCGCCTTATCTGCGTTCTGCCAGCCTGGTGACCATGCCCGTGCCAGAAGCGCATTGCTTCCCCTCTCTGACTCATCCTCGAAGATCAGATCGTCTGATGGGCACATCGATAGGTCACCTGTTGAATATATTTTTTGCAAGTGAATCAACTGAAGAATACATTCCAATATCAACTTGTGGTGCAGTGCTTGTTAGAATAAAAATATGAGATATGCTTTAAACACAGAAGGTTGAACATTTTTATTCTGTAGAATAAGTCTATCACTTTGTCTACTTATTATGGTTATAAAAATATAGTATCATGGTTATAACTGAGCAGGCACCTGAATTGATTCTCTTAGGGGGCAGCAGTGGCGCGGGGGGATCATACGGCATGCTGAGGCACCTGTTCCAGAACGGCATGAACATGTTGAACGGTTGGCCTTTATCATCGTTGACCTCCCATGGATCATACAGCAGGTCGGCATTGAAAGACTGCACGACGATGCCCTCTGCCGTCAGCATCTCCTTGAGCCGGTGGTCCCTGACCAGCGAGATCGGGTCTGAAAAGATGGCCAAGACACAGTGATTAACTGATTGTTGAGTTAGATAATGGATGAGGAGTCTCAGCACAAGCAATTAATTGAGACTGTAGTAGAAAGTGCAAGTGCCTAAATGGAGAATATAGCTAGATACGGTTACTGCCTCGTTGAATTGGTAGGTTGGTGTACCCTCAAAAGGAAAAAGATTGATTTGGTTGGTTGGTGGCATCAAGAACTGTTGGCAATTAAGGACGGAGTTGCTGGAAATGTTCATAGTTTATACCTAGTTAATATGGAAAGTGTAAGCTCAAGATTGCTAAATTTGGACTCGCTACTCCAATTGACTTGCCATGAGTTGTACCATACGGAAAGCATAATAAATTGGGATGTGATATGACATGATAACATAGAGCATGCTTGGATACGTTTTAGTCCCATGACTAAAAGTAGTGGGACTAAAACTTGCTAGTCTCACCCATGCTTGGATCCAAATACTAAAGAGACTAAAATCTAGTTATTGAGCATTTATTATCCTCCAAACCCTCCAATCCAGAACTAAGGAGAGGAATTAAATGAGGAGAGAGAGAGCTAATACATATTTTAGTAGGTTTTCCATGACTAAAAGATTTTAGCCTCAAGACTAGTCCTAGCCTCTCTTTAGTCAGGGGTGCTTGGAACTTTAGCCTCTAAAAGAGACTATTTTTAGTCAGACTAAAAATAGTCCCTTGTATCCAAGCACCCTCATAGTACTACTGTAGTGAGTAGTATAGTAGATCTGGTTCAACCTGAGCAAATCAGATGCAAGCCCCAAAATAAGTAAGAATAACAAATAAAAGATGCTGCTTCGTTTCATCTAGCCAAGGTAAAGAAGTTCAAGTGAAATAGCGTTAATAAACCACAGATTTGGATCATCGACATCTACAAAGAGAAGGAGATCTCGGCCGACAAGAGCAGTATTTCTTGTGTTGTTTAGAGAACACGCGCACGAGCAAACACAAGCGAGGCGTATTTTCAACCGAAAAGGAAGCAAACCGTAGAGATGGTTGAAGAAGAGGTGCGTGGCGCCGGTGTCGCGGACGAGCTGGAGCAGCGCGGCGACGGAGTCGGGCGACCTCCGGGTGACGAGCTTGGCGGCGCCGAGGCGGTGGAGCGAGGCCTCCAGGTGCTTGAGGCTCTGGCTGAGCCACCACCGCGACACGCGGCCGGGGAAGTAGGGGCCGTCCTCCTCCGGCGACCACACGTACGCCGGCACCACCTCCCCGGCGGTGCGCGCCGCCGCCGCCAGCGCCGGGTTGTCCTCCACCCTGAGGTCCCTCCGGAACCAGACCACGCACTTCATCCCGGCGTCCCCGCCGCACATAGAGGAGGACGAGACCGACATGGCCGGCCAACCCACAACCCTATCCCCTCCTGTCCAAGAACCGCCTCCTCTCCTATCCAAGAAAGAAACCCCGCCTCCCGCTCCTCGGATCAAGAACACGTCGGAGAAACCATGGAGCCGATCAAGAACCAGGCAGCTCGGCCTCTCGAGAATCCCGGGAACAGTGGAGCCGGGCTGCGCTGGATTGGATTGGGTCAGGCGATTTTTCTTTTTCTGCTCTGGCGTCTTCGCCTCGGAGTGAGCGCAGGCGCACGAGGAGTGGTTTGTTTTTCCTCCTCTTTTCTGCGTAACTTTCTGGAGTGATTGGTTTTTTTGTTTGGTGCCTGGCGCTGTTGCGGCGGGTCTCGGCCGTGCGCTTCTGGTCCAATAGAGGGGGAGGTTGAGGATATCGGGATTGCTTGGCTGGATTTGATCTAACCTTTCCACTCCCCCATTTATCTTGGCGACCTGACCATTCTCCTCTCACCCCCGATAATATTCCTCCTAGTATTTGTACCCATCTTGTTTCCTCGCGAAAGATCAACCGAGCATGAACGATTCCAGATGACATCCGGCCCGACGGCATCCACCAGACGCGCCCAACACTAATCTTTTCATTTTAATATGTATCAAAGTATAAGATTTTTTTACACTATAACAGTGTAAAAAATATCTTATATTTTGATACGGAGGGAGTAGATAGTACCATGATATACTTGGTGACCCTAAGATTTTGGAAGTTTTTGTTCTTAGCTGAAATTGATTTGAATTTCTTTTTTAGGGCAATACCTTTTTTTTTTGGTGAAATCGATTTGAAATTTCATTCGTTAACAAGACTGACCAGAGAGATAGAGAATTACCCACGCAAACACAAAATATGTTTTCCCAAATTAAACGACCATGGTATATCGTTGTCTCTTTTGTTGTTTCTCTCAAATCTTGCAGTAAATAAGCTATGTTTCTTACAGGCCGCTAAATACCCCCTCCCCCCTCCACCCACCCACCAAACAAAATATACAACTCATTCTTTGTCGTTTCTTCCAACCGCTCTTCACAATGGTAGTCGATGATATCAATATATGACGACCCATGTTTGCTTCCTCGAGCCTAGACTTTTGTCAATGGCATGGGAGCTTCCATCATTTTGCGCTCCAGGCACCTATACGTGTTTTTTTTAGAAAAGGAGGATGACCCCCGGCCTCTGCATCTGGAGGCACCTATACGTGTGTCTAGCAACCTTGAATTGGTGCACCAAGATGCCACCATGCTACATTTTTCTCCGCCTTGCACCGACACCTTATCTAATACATGTGGCTTTGTGTGAGTGATATGAGAGAAAGAAGGAAAATATACTATTTGCATCAAGGCATCCCACCTGTGAAGCCAACGAAGTTTAAAAGTTGTAGAAGTAGCCAAAACATTTTCCTCCACCCATTATCGTATTGGATGCACATGGTGGATGGACTTATGTCCCGTTATGTTTGGTGACACCGAGGATATCAACAAATCTCAATCTTAATTATTGGCTACCCAAAAATAGAGCAAGCCCAACCATCAATGAGAGAGAGAAAAATTGTTGGTAACCACTTTTATAATGAGAATTTGCTAGTTTTCTTTTTGAGTTGGGAGAATTTCCTAGCTTAGGTAGATGCTTAGTACAAGATTACCAACTGATGTCTATTTCTCATAGTCAACTTCCGATGCAATTATGAAAGGGACATTTATATCAATAAAGTAAGTTCTCGTCACAAAAATGTGACAAAGTAATCGATATATTGATTATTATACATAAATAAAACATCATGTAAACATAAAAGAGAGGTAACGTCTAAAATCTCGGAGCATCTTGTAAAAGTTCAAGCAAGACACTCACAACCTGTTGGATAACCTTTGGGCAGGGGAATGGAAATTTAATATGTTATTCTTTTTTTTCCTAGCGAGGGAAGTACATAGAGCCATAAATTGTACTACTCTCTCCGTTCCTAAATATAAGTCTCTGGAGTGATTCTACTATAGACCACATACGAAGCAAAATGAGTGAATCTATACTTAAAATGCATCTATATACATCCGTATGTGGTTTATAGTGAAATCTCTACAAAGACTTATATTTAGGAACGGAGGGAGTAGATCTGTTGCCCTCCGGCGCTTCTCACAAGATAGTTCCTTGTTGTGTGTGGCATACAAGTATACAACAAGCTACAATATTCGTATATATGGTATATTGATGTCGGTTCAAAATTTCTTTGACATAGGAATTGGGTTCTTTTAGAGGCGTGCTAATTAGTCCATTTATTTCCGTGAGGCCGAATAATCCATGCCAAATACAACATTTGCCTACTGTTGCTAAATGCCGCGTTTTTGCATTACAACATAGAAGAAAAAGAAGATGTGAAATATGCACAAATGAGAGACGGCAACGATATAGCAAAGTTGGCCTCCCACGGCCAGGCTACAACGGAAATTTGCAGGGGCACGCATCTGCCCAGCTCTGTCAGAGCGCATGACTGTTTCGTGATCTACAAAGTTGGTAGAATTTGGCGCGAAGGCACACTAGGTTTTAAGTGTTAGTTTTTGAAACTTGCATTTTTTCGTTAGCTCTGTATTAAGTTTCGGCACTTAAAATTTATATGGTTTTTAAAAAAGCTCGTCAAAACGTATTCAATAGTGGAAATACCACACCTTCCAACAGTGAACGAAAACTTTGCACACATGATAGCATGATGAATCATTGGGTGCTTCTCCTTTGGAGCCAGAAAAGGAGTAATCTGGATCAAGCGACACCGCACTGAGCCAAGGGGCGGAAAGGCCGCGGAGCTTTTCACATGGGTGCATGCCGTGCATGGGCCATCCTGTAACGAGAGACGAATATATTCTTGTGTGGCGTGGATGATAGGAGAGCCACACGATCGGTCGCAGCACGCCACGCGGCGGCCCCCCTCGCACCCGGCGGGCCCAAACAGAACTCGCCCTCCGATCAAACGGCCCCTCCGCGCGAGCGCCCGCCGTCCGCGCGCACGGTGGCGCGTGTTTAATTTGCCGGGGCGCTCTGAAGGGGACCGTTGGTGTTGCTTGCTGGTGGTGTGGGCGTGGATACCACTTGCGCTCGGGGGGCGCCGCGCCGTCGCCGTCGGCTCCCCGTGGGCTCCGGCATGGGGTGTGGGCGCGCAAAGTCTCTCGTGGGCGCGGGCGAGCGCCACGGCTTCGGCCGCGTCCCGCGCGCGCAATTTGCCGGACGTGGACCTGGTGCTCATCTACAGCTACCCCTCATGACGTGCCCCTGCTGTGGGATTCTTGGGATGATGGTCATCGGCAGGTTTCGAGAGACAAGTTATCAGCTCTCACAGTTCGGATGCGTGGCCCGATAGGGAAGTAGCCCGAGCCCAACTGTGAGGAAAAAAGTGGCCCGGTGGTGGGTGGGCGTGCAAGTTTGTTGTGCGGGCCTGCTGGTGATTCGCTTGGAGCCCAAGCCCAGGCAGGGCCTGGATGGACGGACGGGCGAAGTGGACTTTTCTTTTTCTTGGCTTCTTTTAATCTGGTCCTCTCGTAAATTTGGCAAAGAACCTCATGCCATGCCATGTAATGGAGCATATAAATATGTTTACTCAAAAGAGACCCAGACCAATACCGATTGAGTTCTGCTGACAACAACTGCCAAACGAGAATCCTAGCAACTATGCCGGTTTCTCACCTAAAGTATTTCTGTGAATAGAGCCTTCGTAGTATTTTCCAAAGCCTCTTTTAAACAATGCCTAGTGGGACTCTCCTTTGAACAAAGTTAATTTAGGCATATTCAGCACATTTTCTACTTTACCCCCAAAGCATCGGCAGTCAGCATGTACCCCCATGCAAACAATCAGGTGGTGGTTCGGAGCAAAAGCCGTGCATAAAACCTATGAATTGCGGGGAGCAAAAGCCGTGCATAAAACCTATGAATTGCGTAAAAACTCACTCGAGCTTTCCCTTGAAAAAGGGTCAAAATCATTTTGAACCGCAGTGGAAACGCTCCTTAACTTTAAATTTGAAGAAACGAGAATTTTTTTCACACATAGTACTATTACCAGTGGGTAACGGACTGAAGCACAAGCAATCAATTGTGCACCTCTTCTCGCAAATAAAAAAAAAATCAATTGTGCACCTCATTATTCTCTCGGTCTAGTTTCCCAGTCGTCGCCTGCGTCTGCCGCTGAATTAAATTTCCCACAGCGCCGAACAAAACATGGTCCACAGAACTGAAGCGTCAACACCGTGCATCCGTCACGCGGATGGCCGCCTCCGGTCCATAGACCCTGTTCCCCGAGAAGCCAAACGCCTGTTTTGTCTCGTCTCGGCCCCTAGACAGGCAAGTCAAACCGGCGAGCCCCGCTCCCTCCGCCGAAGTCTTTAATTTCCGCGCCCGTGTCCTACCTCCACCGAACAGCAGCACATGACGAATCGGCCCCACTCCTCCAGGCCCACAGGTCGGCGTATGGAGCTGAATTTTCTCGCTTGGACCCGTCATTTACGACCGTTTCTGCTCCCCTGTCGCCCCCCTCACGCAAGCCCCTCTGCGCGCACCTGGTCTTCAGACGGAAGCATCGCCACCGTTCATTCCGCCTGGATAGTGTGGCTCGATTAATCCGGTGCATGAGCCGGGTCTATGTCAGTGTGGGCCCGCCGTCTGTACCCTGCTGAGTGTTGACCCCCGGAAAGGCCCCTCCCATAGACTTCTTCGTCCACACGCGCAAACCTGACGAAAGGAAAAATACCCAAAACCGGAGGCCCCCCCGACCCTGAGCGAGAGCAGCTCAGCTCCTTCGCCTCCATCGCTCAAGGCCTCGAGCTCTCCTCCATCTCCCCTGCGAATCTCCAAGCTCGTCCACCGCTGGATCGATCGGTGAGTCGACCCGCTTCGCCGGAGAAAACCACGATTTTTTCTTTTTCTTCTTCTTTTCTGTGGCCGTTCTTTAATTCTGCTTCCCGCCACGCCACCGGATCTGACTGAGGTGATCGAATTCCCTCGCCATCTTTTTGCTTGCCGTCAGGGTGCAGAGTTCCATGAAAGAGGCGCGGTTTTGGGAGGCCGTTGTAACCGAAGCCGAGCCCCGTGGTGTCCCGAGACGGGTCTCGCTGGCGGCGGGGGCTTCCTATTCTTCTTCTCCCTCCGGCTGCTCTATCTTGTTTTAGTTCACGGGTTGGAACTGGTTGGGAGTTTACGAGATATGGCCAGGTTTTGCTGCTTCGGCGCTGGTTGCTCCGAGGTAAGTTTTGTTTCCTTCCATGTCCCAGTATTTTCTTTGCTAATTGCATGTTTTTTTCTGCATAAATAGAATAGGATTTTTCCTGTGAGGCTGTCTGTACAGAATATCACGTGATAATTCGGGAAATTAAGTACTCCTACGATGATATCTAGAGCATGTGGCTCCTAGTGAGCAAAGCTGTACTTTCTTCACGAATTACACTGCCTTTGATATGGCACAGATTTCACTGCCGGTGACATATGCTTTGTGGTAATCTTTTAATTGACTAAAGTTGACTTATTGGACACAAAAGCCCATCAGCCCTCATCTTTTTTTTTGAAACTAGCCCTCATCTTCTTATGACATGATTTTCGTTAGTTGTTGACTGGACTATACCTGCTCTGTGTTTCCTTTCAAAAAGAAAAAAGAAGAACTACACCTCACCTACTCTAAGATGCTTTTTATAGTATTCCTAGAAGTAAATTTATTGATACTTGAAACTTTTTAACTAAAAATTGTTAGAAGCTCGTCGAATGCATTGGTTGGAAGCTATATTGGTTAATTTACTCTTGCTGACTGTTCTGTTTCAATATAGTTGACAGGGCATGCATCAACCACCTCTGGTAAAGGGAAAGGCTGTCAGGGCCAAGTCAAGGTTAGCTACGGGTTTAGCCTTGTAAGAGGAAAGACAAACCATCCGATGGAGGATTTTCATGTCGCAGAACTTGCTGAAGTGAAAGGAAACGAGCTTGGTCTTTTTGCTATTTATGATGGTCATTTAGGCGATACTGTTCCTGCATACCTACAGAAAAATTTGTTTCCTAATATTTTGAACGAGGCGAGTTTTCGACATCTGTTTCAATACGAATGGCCCATTCACTAGTACTTTTTGTGATCTTAGTTTAATTGGGTCATTTCAGGAAGAGTTTTGGACACATCCGGACAGAGCAATCACAAAGGCTTATGAAAAGACGGACAAGGCTATTCTGTCACATACTCCAGATTTGGGACAAGGTGGCTCCACTGCCGTAACTGCCATCCTTATAAATGGCAGTAAGTTGTGGGTAGCTAATGTTGGGGATTCGCGGGCTGTTCTTCTGAAAGGAGGTGAGGCCATACAGATGTCAATTGACCACGACCCGAATGCAGAGCGTGGAGCTATTGAAAACAAGGGTGGTTTTGTTTCAAATATGCCAGGTGGGTCTTCTATTTTAATATTTTTGATTGAAATCATTGTTACAGGCTTGCATCCAGTTGTTCATCTGATATTTGATTCACTAATCTTGTTCTGGAATATCAGGATACTGCAAACGCAGAATATTAGTTCAAATGTTTTGTACTAGTGAAAAGTTTTTAGTGATGTCAAAATGAAAAACGTATCCGCTACTGAATACTGCTTAGATTAGTGATATGCTTGCTATATTCTTGCCATTCTTTATTGTTAAATTATATGAATTTTTTGACCTGCCATGTAATGTACTCCCTCCGCCCCACAATATAAGATCATTTTTCAAGCTAACATAGCTTGAAAAACATAGCTTGAAAAATGATCTTCTATTGTGGGACGGAGGGAGTAGTTAGCTAATCTTAAATTATCCAGAAAATGTTGGAAGTGCTTTACTTTTTAAAATTTATACACAACTGTAACAAGTGGATACTAAGCCCCGTGGTCAATATTGGATCACATAAAACGATGTATAAGTGTTCAGTATTGTGATTCTAATACAACCAATATTATTACACGTATGCAGCAATTATTTTCCGTCTACTTTAAGGTTTTCAATGAATTTGATAATATTATTATAGCACTACTCTGTATTAGCTAACCTTAAAGTGTCTGAACAAATAAGAAGTACTAGTGTTACAACTCAAAAGGCAGAAAGCTTTGTAAATCCATCCTTGTCAATTCAATTTTTTTTTTGAAACTCTTGTCAATTCATTCTTGAGAAAGTGGCAATAGTCACCATCCCTAGTCTTATGCATTATTTTTCACGTAAGTTCCACAAGGGCACAAGGCCCTAGCACGAAAAGCCAACAAAATATCTGCTCTGACATATATTAGAGTATCAGTATGTTCATCATTGTTGCCTTTTTCCACCACCATAGCATGCTTCTGATAAAAATCAATAATTGCCGTGAGAATGGACGCTAGTGATGACTATAAATACAAATATGCAAGTTTAGCCTCAACGTCTTCTTATGAAAAGAATGACAGTTGCGGGCAGGAGGCATTAAATGCCAGAACAGTATTACCTTTAGTTGTTTAGTAGGATGTGACTGATATTATCTTGTATTTGCGATTAGTAGCTAGTAGGTACAAAAATTGAAAGGGCAGGAGTAATTTTGATGCATCTGACCCGTGGCTACAAAAATTCTTATGTTAATGGTATCATGCATTGTGATGTCGACATTGATTCACATCGGGATGGCTTGGAGAGGACTAAGGTATTGAAAGGGGAGACATACATAGTGGGGATAATTGAAAGGGGATACAGACATAGTATATTGGGAATGAGTGAACTATAGGGATGATGGAGATTTCTTTGTTGCTTGAACCTTGTCAAGTACAAGCCCTCCTTTTGTAAGGATGTAATCAACCTTAAGGCTCCTAACATGACTCAGAACTTCTGACTATCTGGATAAGGATTTTTTAGCCCATGCTAAACGTTAACAAGTCCTGAACAAAGACACTGATTAAATACTCGCTTACTCCATTTCGCCTATCTTTTCTGCTAGTCCTGAACAAAGCTACCGACAAAATATACTCGTTTGCTTCCTCACGCTCTATCCTTTCTGCCTTACTGGCAATCTGCTGTCCGAGTTGCAGAAGAGCTCGCTACACTACTAAGAAGAGCATAAATGCGTGTTGAAAAGGAACATGGAATGAAAAGGTGACGATGCAGAATGATAACATGGTTTCTGCTGAAAGGTTGTGAATGAGTAAACGGTAGCCACGGAAATGTAGAACATGATCGTGTGAAGAAAATGGGATCTTAATGCCATCGGTACACCATGTAGCAGTTGCTGATTGATACCACCAATTTTGTTCAAACATTGCACTGATTAAGTAATAAACGAGTGTAGTTCACATCAAGGGCAGAAGTTTTTTAGTTGAGCCAGCCTCAGCAATGTGGCAGCAGAGTAGAATACAAACGACAAAAATTGCCAGGACGTACACTGGTGCAGCTTGCGTGGCATCCACTCTTGTTTCTAGTTAACTCCATGATTTTATATATAATAGCCTGTTAACTCTATGCATTAGTGTCTTTTTCTATAATTGCCTAGATATGTTTTTGTGTTTGTGCCTGAAATATGATGCTGTAATTTACAGGAGATGTTCCCAGAGTCTGTGGTCAGTTGGCCGTGTCCAGAGCGTTTGGGGACAGGAATCTAAAATCACTTTTGAAATCAGAGCCTGATGTGAAAGTTGAAGATATCGATCACACTGCTGAGCTAGTTGTCCTTGCGAGCGATGGAGTTTGGAAGGTGTGGTTTGTTACAGATATAGTGGATTGCTGGGATAAAACCTAGTACTCCCTCCAATCCAAATCAATTGTCGCAGCTTTAGTACAAAGTTTTGTACTAAAGCTGCGACAATTGATTTGGATCAGAGGGAGTAGCACATTGGTTGATATATGCTTATACTTGTTTGTGTCAACCAGGTAATGAACAATCAGGAAGCCGTTGATGTGGTGAAAAGGTACAAGGACCCACAAACAGCTGCCAAGCAATTAGTCGCCGAAGCAGTGAAAAGAGACAGTAAAGATGATATATCATGCGTGGTCGTTCGGTTCAAGATGTAAATTTGTTGCAGGCAACTCGTGAAGAATTGTCACCGAGAGGAGAGCACAAGGAATTATAACAGCAAAACATAGCCTGCTTGACAAGGATAGTGGTAATGCAAAAGAATAATTCTCTGGAATGCTGGCTGTAAAGGATGTGTTAGCTTGATTGTAAGTTCATATATAAATATGCTAGAATTCTTTGTTTGGTGATTCCAGGGTACATGCGAGTGGGTCCAAATAGCCTTCTTCTGTAAATAATGGTTTTCAGATATTCAAAGTTCAGGGTGCTCCGTTGTGAGAGCTTTTTGGGTGGGTTGTCTTCATCTTCCAACTTGAAGTTTACCCAAAATTGGGTAAAATTAATTTTAAAATGGGCGATTTTCATGTTTAAAATCAAGGGCAACTCATTGCTTTTCTACAAAATCACAAACAGTGATTGCGATTTCGGGTATGATAAAATGTGAATAACTCCCAGTTTTTATAAGCATGTATGGGCCTGTTTGGGACTGCTCCACTCCCTAAAATTCATATCTGCTCTAGAAATTACAAACCAAACAGGGTAGCTCCACAATATGCCACTCCAAGAAAACTAAAATCTAGGGTACAACTCACTATTTTTTATGAAGCTCTTGAGGGAGTGCTCCGTTGGAGTTAAGTGGATACCCTTCTGTTTTTTCCCACGACATTCATTCAAATAGACTCTTTCCACTAAATTTCTCATTCTTGAAGCTGGAGCTACCTGGAAGTCAAATATGATAAACTGCTCTTTGTGGAGCTGCAACTCCTATATGCAACTGCTCCAAAGTGGATTTGATGAAGTGAAGCTGATTTTGATAGAGTGGAGCCGTCCCAGACATGCATTATTTGATAAAATGTGGACCTGAAAATTTTAGGCAAAACTATATACATAGACACGCTAGAAGAAACCGTGCACACTGTTTTATGCCCTCTTCGTTTCCTACACTGAAAATTTGCGGCAAAACAATGCACACTGTCTTTTCGTACAACATTTCACAGTCGCAGGTTCATAGTTGCCAGACAAGTGCATTCATAAAGCTTCTCAGGAATTCGAAAATTTCCATGTACACTTTTGATTTTTGGGAGCACCGGGCTGCCCAAAATGCGCGTCATCGTCCTCCTCTATCCGAAGAGATTCATAGGGCACCGAGAAAGGGAAGCCATGGTCGACTTGTTGGGCTACACACACAAAAAAAAGGTCGATCAAATTGCTACCATGAAGAGCAGATTATGCCTGAATTGTTCGACGAAATGTAAATCCATCCGCAGCTTATGATCTGGATAGTGCTTCTCATCTTCCATCGAGATGCTATCATCCATACTTTTATGTATCCAGTAAGCTCGTGACATAGAAATGTAGGTGACATTCTGAAAAAAGTGTATCCATCCGCACCATAAGCAGCGGTTGCATTTACAACAACTCTTGTTCGTTAGCAGGTCCTATCGTACACACGTGGACTCCACATAGGCTCCGGGCGGTGAAGTGCTAATGTGCACCTGGAGAGATGGGAACTAGCCTTGTCGGGTTTTCTTCCAGCCCGGTGCTTAGCACATCTTCAACGACCCACAAATTTTCTTCTGACCAGTCTGCGGATACAGATGCAGAAGGCTACCCAATGCTATTCTGTATATATCCGTCAGTAAGGGCAATTTTAAATTCAAATTTAGTCTGATTCACGCAACACGCAAGATCACATGGCCGATCACAATAAAAAAGACGCAAGTATGTTTAGTTTTTACAAGTCCGAATCCAAAAAACATCAGCCCGACAGTCCGTGGAATTTTCTGCCCTATTGAATCGGCAATCCCAGCCTGTTCCACGATCAAGGTGTCGTCGCCGCCGCTGTTAACAGCCTCCACCTCCGCCTCTGCCGCGTCCTCATTGTCCGCCGCCGCCAACTGATCTTTCTGCCGCTGCAACATTTGGTAACAGAAGGATTGCACGATCATTCTTGCGTCGGCATCCAAAGAGTTAACATTCTAGGTTAACATCTTGGCGTCCTCCGCATTGGCGGCGAGCTTCACCTTCTTTTCCTCGAGCCCGGCCTTCTTCTCTTTGATCATGGTCCTCCTCTCTTCGAGCTTGAGCTTCTTGTCCGTCACCTCCATCAACAATTTGAACATCTCCGTCTTTTTCTCCTCCTGAAGGTCCGAGCGCTTCACGCATGCCTCCTCCTTCTTCGACAAGATGTCCTCGAACCTCTCCGTTAGCTTGGCTGCCGCACCTTCTCGCTTCGCCCTCTCCTCCTCCCACTTCTTCTCATATAAAAAAAATCTTCTAACCTTCTTCGGCGATTCTTGAGTTGGGTCGGTAGGGTCACTGGTTTCTTCCTCGTTGGATTGGGCGGTGGTCTTGGCTATGAAAATGTTCCACTTTGGTTGCGCATTCAACTTCAACCAAAAATGCATGATGGTGAAGTTTTTCTTCTCCAACTTCTTGTACACCAAACAAGCATGAGAAGACTACAAAATAATGCATATCTGGCTAGTGATCAACAAAACTATGCATATCCCGCAAGTGAGCAACAAAACAAGCATGTCCAGCTAGTGATCAACAAAACTACGCATATCCGACAAGTGAACAACAAAATAATGCTTGTCCGGCTAGTGATCAACAAAACTATGCATATCCGGCAAGTGAGAAACAAAAGAATTCATGTCCGGCTAGTGATAAACAAAACTAAGCATATCTGGCTAGTGAGCAACAAAAACAATGCATGTCCGGCTAGTGATCAACAAAACTAAGCATATTCAGCTAGTGAGCAATAAAACAATGCATGTCCGGCTAGTGATCAACAAAACAATGCATGTTCGGCTAGTGATCAACTTACTTGCTCAGTGATTAGTGCACCGCTAGGCCACCATGCGATGAGATACCTCAAGTGCCTGCAATACTTGGATACAGCCTCTTAGATGATGTACCATCGATGGTTGAGGGACTTTGATTCATGGTTGCATATGACCGCGTCGGAGTAGGGGGCGAAATGCTTGTGTTTGTGGAACCAAGTGTGGCTGTTGTTCCAAAATGTTGTGCCCTTTTGCTCCATGCCAGGGATCGGATCAAGGCTAGTGGCCAACAATGCATCGCACAACAGCTCGTCCTCCCACATGATGAAACTTTCTCCTATATCCTTCTTCTTCGGATTGCCGGCTGTATCATCCGGATCATCGCCCTCGCCGTCCTCCCCCTCCTCTTCCTCCCCCTATGGCTGCTATTGTCTAGCGGCCCAATGTTGTTGCTGTGTGCCCACGCTGGTCTGGGTGTAGGACTGCTGCATGCCCGTCTGGGTGTAGGACTGCGTGTCCTGTCCTGGACCCTATACCAGATCCAAAACCTGTTGACAGTGATGAGGAAATGGAAGATGAACCTCCAATCTTTGCTGAAGAGGAGGCTGGTCCTATGTAACGACCCGAGGCCGACGCTCTAGAAGCCTTCCAGTTATTTCGTTATCGCCGTGTGATTTATTTTTCTTGTTGCATTTCATCATGGCATCATGTGCATTGCATCCGCATGTTTTCATAAAACTCGTAGCCGTTCGCAGTTGCCGCTTCTTCCTCGTCTCCGTTGACCTTTTGTCAGCCCCCCTTGTCTTCATCGACCTCTCTCAGACCCCCTAGCATGCACGTCCGGAACTTTCCGAACCCGAATCGGGCTGTCGTTACCGATGGGTGCGGATCATCCCCAAACATCCCTAAAATATCTTCAGTTCTTTGTTGGACTCTCCTAGCCTAATTTTCTCGACCATCCAATTTAAATAGGAGGGCCAAAATGGCACCTAACCTAATCCACCCGCTATATAATCACGGCAACCCTAAAATCTCGGACGGCTGTCCCATCCAATCCTCCTCCCCACCGCCAGTCCTCTTCCACCTCGGGATCCCTCCCGATCCATCTCCACCCAACTAGATCGCTGCAACCATCCACCTGCCCAAATCCCCTCGCAGCCGCAGCCTCCTCCCCTCGATCCACCAAATCCCGCAATCGAGGCCCCGAGGTCCTCCCACTCGATCCCTCCCCGAGCACCTCGTGCCTGGCTGCCGCTGCTCCCATGCGCTTCCAGGAGCCCCTCTGCCTCTGCCCGAGCTCAGCTCCCCATCACCCTCGACCCCGCTTCGTCGTCCGGCCGACACCGGTGACCGGAACCTCACCGGAGATGAGTGCCCCGATAGCCCCAGTCCGTTTCCCCTCCTGCTTCTCTATCTCTCTTTCTCAGGATCTCCCTCTCCCTCTCCCTGTTTTCGCTCACAGGATACCACCATGGCCACTGCATCAAGCTCAGTCGCCGTTGTTTCGTGCCGTGAATGGATGGATCCATGCTACCCGCGCCCGGATCTGCCACTGCCGCGTCATTCCGGCACCCCGCCACATCTCCACCACCCTTGCCTCCTCGCGCTTGCGCTGCCATGCCTCATCATCGCAGCCGAAAGTCCCATCTCCAGCGTCGCTGACACGTCCATTTTGCATCATGTTGACCTACCGTTATTTATAATGTTTTAATGCATAATAATGCTTTTTGGAGTAATTTGCAAGGTACACACAAAGAGAGAGAACTCTGGCAGCTGGAAAATTGAACCTGAAAAAGTTACGTCAGGCTACCTATTTTGCACAACTCCAAATGAGCTGAAACTTCACGAGGAATTTTTATGGAATAAATAAGAAATACTGGAGCAAATAACTACTGGAGGGGGTCCACCTGGTGAGCACAAGACAACAGGGCGCGCCTGGCCCCCCAGGCGTGCCCTGGTGGGTTGTGCTCAGCCCAGCCCACCTCCGGTGCCCATCTTCTGGTATATAAGTCATTTTGACCTAGAAAAAAGGAGGACATCCGGGACTAAGCACCGCTGTCTCGAGGCGGAACTTGGGCAGGAGCACTTTTGCCCTCCGGCGGAGCGATTCCGCCGGGGGAACTTCCCTCTCAGAGGGGGAAATCATCGTCATCATCATCACCAACAACTCTCCCATCTTGGGGAGGGCAATCTCCATCAACATCTTCAACAAC